GGGGGGGGGGGGGGGGGTAACAAAATAATTCAATAATACCCTCTTTAAAAAATTCCTGTATTCGCGTTGCAAATAACAGTTTTAAAGATAGGTAATCTAAGACGACCTTTTAGTTCTGCTCGTTAAACAAAAATATCATAAATGATTATTGTAAAAATAAGTTTTTAAATGATGCTTCCTCATACAATTACAATTAATGTCAACTACGGTTCTAGGGCGCTTCGCACCCCTGTATGTAAGTGAAAAGATGATATATCATCAGAGACGATTGTATAAAATCTAATCAGAGTTCATGGTTCCACGCAGCCGCGAATTTGTTCCACTCTCAAAATCAAAATTAAGGACTGAATCCAAAAATTAACCTCATTGCACTTTGAGGTCGTCATTAAAGCCTCGTCCTTAATGGGTTTCCCTATATCTTGTATGTTTTTAACCGGAAGCTAAATTGGAGGAATTCTAACCGAGAACTAATTTTACTCGGGGATCGGTAACTAGCCGTAGAAATACATGTTTATTGGGCAACAACAAGCCATACAAGGAAAGGTTTACGAATTAATGCGGCGTAGATAAAAAGCAATTAAACAGAATTTAACTATCAAGAATTGGATAGATAATTGTACACTTTACATATTCTTAACATTTACATATTCCCTTCTCTGTAAATTGTATTCAGTATACAAAGCAGCTGGGGGGGGGGAAGAGATGCTGTGCCCCCCTCTCCCCCCATTGGATTACTAATAACTACGTCCACGGGTCAATGGGCAGGAATCCACTATTAAGCCCCAAAAAAGTAAAAAGAAAGGGTAAGGTCTCTCTCCTGTATACGCCTTGCATTTATACATAGTACATAAAATCTTAGAAATAGAATAAACTCGATTAGGTTTCCCGTTTAAATCGTTTTAATCGTGTTCATGCGGAGAAAGGTTAGAGTATAGAATGCTGATGGACAGTTTGTACAGGGGAATTGTACAGAACCCTTATAATTGAACATAAAGGTTAACATGTACATAGTAATCTGTAAGAGTTTCGTCTGTTATGTTCACATTTTGTTTGTTTATGTTTTGACTGAATACGGTTGTACTATTGCAGTATACAGAGTAAACTAGTCCGTCTTCACTGTTCATCTTGCGGTCCTTGCGGAGACATTATAAACACATCTTTACAGTCTTTTACCCTTTTCATAAAATAAACTCTAGCAGACATAATAATATTATGGCTTTTGAAATTTGGTATTATAATGCTAATTCATAACAAAGACGATATCGAATTCTTCACTGAATTCCCATGTTTTTTGGGACACTCTGTACTAAATGTATTTACACAATTAGTACAATGAGCATTTAATACCTTCATTTTATGCAATTTATTTTTGGCTCTCTTTTTTGTCCAAGTTTATTTATGGTTCCATCTATCTGCTTGTCAAAATCTATGGCTCTGTATGGGTTTATGCTAAGTTTTATGGCTCTGTATTTGTGTCTAAAGCTCTGTTGGTGCTATGGCCCTGTATGTGTGTCCATAGCTTTGTATAAGTGTCTTTAAGGTCTAGCTGTATAAGTGTCAATGGTTCTATATTTGTGTCTATGGCTCTGTATTTGTGTATATGGCTCTGTATTTGTTTATATGGCTCTGTAATTGTGTCTATTGCTCATTTGGCTCTGTATTTGTGTATATGATACTATGTTTGTGTCTATGGCTCTGTACATGTGTCCATGGCTCTTTATTTGTGTCTAAAGCTCTGTTGCTTCTATGGCTCTGTATGTGGGTTCTTGGCTCTGTATTAGTGTCTATAGGTCTGTATTTGTGTCTATAGTTATATATTTGTGTGTATGTCGTTAGCTCCATATTTATGTGTACAGATCTGTATTTATGTTGATTGTTTATGGATCTGTTTGTGTATTGAGCTCCCCATTTTTGTGGGTATTGCTCTGTCTATGACTATGTTTTGGTCTATGGCTCCCTATTTGTGTTTTTGGCTATGTATTTGTGTCTATGGATCTTTATTTGTGACTTTGGTTCTGTTGTGTGTGTCGGCTCTGTATTTGATTCTATGGCTTTGTATTTGTGTCTATGGCTCTATATTTGTGGCAATGGCTCTGTATTTGCGTGTATGGCTCTGTATTTGTGTCCATGGCTCTGTTTTTGTGTCTATGGCTCTGTTTATGTCTATGGCTCTTTATTTATGTCTATAGATCTGTATTTGTGTCTATGGTCCTGAATATATTAGTGTAAAGAAAATTTTCCAGAACATTCGTCCTGAACGGGTTTTCTTTGATGGAAGAACATTACAGAACATTACAGAACATTACAGATTATTTTACAGATTTACACTTTCGTTAATATCTATCCATCTACTTTCTATTCATTGGCATTTCCCGTGTTTTTCAATAAGATTCAGGGATACCCACCACTAAGGTCGAGACTGGAAAGACGACCTGAAACTCCAAAAATAGGTGATACCAAGATTAAATTGAGTCTTTTTTCTTACAAATAATCTTTTAATAAGGCTTATTTTTATTATTTATCAAAGAAATAAAGAGAAGTATAGTTGTAGTTATTATCATGAATATAAGAACGGTAAATATTCCGTGCAATCGTCTTTGAAGTCTCATCGTTTGTGTGTAACCCTGCACCTAAATTCAACAAATTTATAAAATTTATTAAAATATTGCCATAATGTTTTCACGGTATCAAAGGTTGGTTACTTATGCAATATATCTATATGCGTATTTTTAATAAACGGAAAAATTCATTTTTAATTGGTATATTTAGCGAAAACAGTTTTTGAGCATAAATATAACAGCGCAATTTTTAATTTGTAAAAATGAACAATTTCTATTTTGTTGCAATATTCTATATAGATCTCCAGAATTGAAAAAGAATAATTGAAAAATTGAAAATGGCAACTGTTTACTCCAGAACCTGTTTGTGTCAGTGTATATGTCCACGTCTTGTATTTATGTTTCCCCCAAAATGCAGTGAAGAAATAGTTTTCCATTTATTTAAAGCGACGCCATTTGTACTAAAATTGGAAAAATGAAAACAAATATTGGAATGATAACTCTGTGTTGTGAAGAAGGAGAAGAAAAAAATGAAAAATAAATAAATCCGTTAAAAGACAGAATTTATTGAACTAGTTCAAAGGAATTGAATCGTTGCAACAAACTCAAATTTGCTCATCCCCATATCTTTGCATAAACTGAGACATTTGATATTTCAAACTTAGATTATCTGATCTAACAGAATTCATAGTTTGAAAAGTCTAAGATCTATGACAAAGATAAGGGCATAGTAAATTAGAGTTCGGGGCAAATATGCAATTCCTTTATAGTAAATTATATTTGACTGATCGGTTAAAGGTATCGTAGACTTTAGAGTGTAGACATGTTTTCAGTTGTCCCTTCGTTTCATAATTTGTTGATTTTGGTTGCGCGGAATCAAATAAACTTAAATACACTTTATAGAATCTTCAAAATGCTAGAATGAAGAAAAGAATGTCGGAAAAAGCTGAAATATTTTTATCTGTAAACTCTGGTCCCATTTAAGTACCGACACAACTTTTAAGCATACAGAGAACAGACGTATACTAGATGGGAAAACGGGACAGTACATACAGAGAACAGACGTATACTAGATGGGAAAACGGGACAGTACATACAGAGAACAGACGTATACTAGATGGGAAAACGGGACAGTATACACCAAAGAAATCATCCCTCTCTCAAACAGTTTTATTACTTTCTTCGAAATAAAACAAGGTTTAAAGAAATAATTGAACTTAAAATTATTCTATTTTTGAGTTTATTGAGTTTTTGCCACAAACTCA